GGTTCCAACGGGACACGTCGCTGTGTGTGTGTGTTCCCCTTGCCCACCCTGTCTCACCTTCCTCCGGGCTCTGCTTCTTGCGTTGCTTTTCAAGTACTTTTTTTGTCGTGGTACCCACGAAGCCGTGGAGGGGGGGGGGGTTCAGCTGAGCACGCACCCCCAACATCACTGAGCGGCTGAAGGGGTGGTTAATGGTTGGACTCGATGATCTTGATGGTCTTTTCCAACCTAAATGATTCTATGATTCTATGAACAGCCGGGCACAGCTCCCCTGAGACCCACTGGAAGATGGCCCCTGGGGGTAGATGGAGTGAAGGGAACCCCCTCCATGTTTCCACCACCAGCTCCGTGGATGCCTCCTTCCCCATCAAGGCCACTGGCGTTGATGGACAGACAGACCTTTCATGGTCTCTACCCTTTTCACCCTTCTCCACTTGTTTTGCCCCTTGCGGGAGGGTACCAGGGAGGGGGGGGAGCTGCTCAGCACCTGAAGCCCCACATCACTTTCATGATGGCCCAGGTATCTCCACAGCCCCGTTCCTCGTGACCTGCCTGTCCTGAGCTCAGCCATGCTGCAGCCCTTCTCCTTGGACCCAGCAGCGATATGAGGTCAGACTGCTGGTTGGGGGTGAAAGGACCTTGATATGAAGTCAGACTGCTGGTTGGGGGTGAAAGGACCTTGCAGACATGACCGTTCCCTTCCCCCCCATCCACCCCTTTTTCTTAGGCGGTGAGGAGAGGCCAAGCCAACTCTCTTCTGGAGTTACCAGCCAGAAAGGCGAGTGTCATGCCAGAAGAATGGGGCTGTGGTGGGGAACGGAGCCATTTTTCCACCCCTTACCCTGGAAGAAGGCTGCGCCCAGAGCAGGGCCGCCCCGTGGGGGGGTGGGGGGGGGGGGGTGGTTTCTATGCTTCACAACCAGGAATCTCTCCGAGAGATTCCCGCATTTAACTCACACCCTGCCGGCAGTTTCCTGAACATCTGCAGAGGTTTCAAAGAGGGCTGGCAGCAGTGGGAACATATCATCTCCTCTGCCCGCTGCACACACAGCAACGGGTGCAGAAATGGGTCCTGACAGCCGGACAGGTAGCAAAGCCAATAGCCCCCCCAGCCCTACATCACTGGGCCTTTAAACCAAAGCCGAAGCAAGCTGCTGAAACAAACTTCATGGTGGAAAAGAAGGGGAAGGGCCTAGGTGTGCTGCTTTTGGCTGGGGTTCAGTGGTATCAGGTTTGCGAGTCTGAGTTATGGGACCGTGATGAGCAAACCAGGGCCCGGTGGAGCTGTGCAAGAGCTAGGTGCGGGGCGAGTGCTGCTGCTTTTCTTCAGCTGTCTCAGGCCGGGAGCCAGAGACCCCACTGGGCTCCTCAGGGCAGAGCAGCCCAAGGTACGGCAAAGCCCGGTGCAAATTTTCGCTCCTTCCTCCGTTTCCAGTTGTTCCCGTTCCCCTCCTGTTGCCTGCTCAGGCTGGGGACCAGGAGACAGGTGCTGGCTGTGTGGGACAGCAGACATACGTTGGTGCATGTCACTCTCGGCAGTGGCTGTTCTTGGTCCCTTCGGGCTCTTCCCTGAGGGATGCAGAGGGGGAACGGCTCCTTCCCCAGCTCAAACAAGCAGCACAAGGCTGTATTTGCAGAAAAAGGGGCCTCATACCAAGGGAAGGAGGGAAGAGAGGGAGCATGACCAACCCAGGTGTGTTTCCCTGCAATTGCTTAACTTGAGCTTTTTACCTCTAAAAATGTCACAAGATAATTCATGGCATGTCAGCTTCGCATTTTCCATCTCCAGTCGAAGCCTGGCCCTTGGGGCACTGTTAGTGCATGGTGCGGCAGTGCCAGCGCAGGGACACAGCTGCATATGGGGGGGGGGAGGATGGGGATGGGGACGGGACGGATGCGTTTTCCTTGTTCAGACTTGCAGAGGCGGACGTGCAGCAGGTAATCATTAACAGGGCCAACTGCTGTCACCCCAGCTCTGTTTAGCTGGGGCTGGGCTTGCACAGCCTTCCCCAGCCTGGACACGTGCCCCCCCATGCATCTGCTCCCAGGTACATTTCCATTCCACGGGAGGTCAGACAGACCTCTGGCTCTCTGACACCCAGCTGAAAGGGAGAACGGGGAGATGCCGAGGCCCTTCGGAGAGCAGGGCAGGGCTCTCTCCCAAAAGGTAGATTGCCCCTTTCCTACAGCGATCGCATTTTGGGACCACTTCTCTCCCCCACCATAAATTTGACACCGGGGCGGCTGGAAAACTCTAATTGCCATGGTTACTGAAGGTCCTCGCTGCTGAGACATGGGCCAAGCGCCAACGCGACGGGGTCTGGGCACAAGCAGAGCGGGCCCCCTCTTCCCAGTTGCACGTCCGCCTGGTCCCTGGGCCGCAGCCCAGGGAGGCTGGGACAATTTGGTGTGCCTTACACCCGCTACAGACCCCCACTGTTAGCTCTGGGCAGGAGCTGAAAGGCTGAAGGCGATGAAAGGGAGGCAGTGGGGGGGGGGGGGGAAGGGACAACGCGGCCGGGGAAGGAGGCTGCTTCTCCAGGCGGAGAGGGGGCGGCAGGCAGGCTGCCAAGCTGCCCTCAGGAATCTGAGTTTAAGGTATGAGTGTAGCTCGCCATCACCCACCGTGTCCATCTCCACTCTCTCACCAGCACGCCGTCGGCCAGAGCGATTACCTCCCTTTTGCAAAGGAAACTCTGCAGGAGAGATGGTGTTGGCCGCAGTCATCCTTACAAGTCTGGGGCTGGAGGCAGAAGCGTCCCTAATCCCTCGCTTTTGAATTCAGAGAGCAGTCCTCCCGCCGGAGCAGCACTGGAGGCAGCACCCCAAGGCTCCCCTCTGGAGCTGGGAACGAACAGGAATAGCTCCCCGAGCGGGCTCATCCCCGGCAAAGCAGCGTGGCTGGGGACAGGTCACCATAAAAAACAGCCGACAGAAACGTTTTGAAATCTAGAGGCTGGATGGTACCCACCGATAGCTGTGCGGCTGCAAAGGGCAGGGCAGGCCTGCCGCCGGGTCTGCCGCCTCCCTCCCCAGGGAGGAACCGGAGCAGGGCAGGAACAGAGGCTGCCAGCTCCTGACTCATGCTTTCAAGTCCTTCTGGATCACTTGGGATGGCGGCGCGCTTTCTCCCTGTTCCGTGTTACACTGAATATCCATGTATGCCACAGAATGGGGGAGAAGGTCCCGCAGCACAAAGACCCTGTATCCAGCAACTGGCCCAGAGGGATGCTGTGCAGAGAAGCGGGCAAGGACCTGGGCCAGCAGGGAATTCCCAAGAGTACCCCAGTTAGGATGGGGGCAGAGGCCTCGGGGTACAACCTCGCTTGCGCTGCGTGGTGCGTCACTGGTACAGCGCCCGCCGCATTCTTGCGGATGCAGCAGGAGACGGGAACTAAAACATCCATCTCTTTATTTCAATGGCAAGAAACAACAACATCCAAACAGTCCAAGTTGAAAAGCAACAGGAACGCAGGCTCGTGCCAGGCCCTGGGCCTGCTGGAGCCGGCACCCCCACAGAGTTACAAAAATACAGTCCTACAACAGCTTCTAGGAAACACAGACCCAGGTATTGCACAGAACCCCTGCCTTCTGCAGGCAGGGTGACCAACAACCCCTCCGCCTTTGCCGAAATGCAAGCCAGGCTTGGAATTGCACAGCAACTCAGCTCACGCACGCACGGAGGGGCCAGGCGGGGAGGGGGACAGTGTGTCTCTCAACTACCTGTACAAAAACTATAAGGGAAGATACAAAACCGGGGAGAAAGGGGAAAGCTGGGGCTGTAAACGCCTCTGGGCCAGGCTGGGCGTCCCAGCTGGGGGGGCAGTGGTTTGGACCTCTGAGAAGATGACAGTGCCTGGTCTGTCGGTGGCCTGAGAGCAGCGCTGATGGGAACTCTGGGCGCTGCTGGAGCATCCCAGCTCTGAACGCATTGGGATGCTATTGTTATCAATTGCCAATACTGCTGCTGGCCCCTGGCACTCTGCACTGCCCTGCACCTCTGCTCCCACCACAGCATCCCCCATCCTCCAGGGAACTCTGCCCCCCGGCCAAAAAGTCTGAAGGGTATTCTGGTTCTTTGCGGTATCCTCATACCCTTTTTTTGGTATTGGTATTAGGAGGGATTCAAATGGTGCCACCCACCCAGCATTACGTGGTGGGCACAGCTGGGTGTGAGTGCAGGTGGGACCGCACAGACCCCACGCAGCAGCAGCATCCTCTCCTGGCACACAAGCTGCGAGCAGCAACCCGCTTCACAACTGCCGCCCACCCAAAAGTGCCAAGCAGGTCTGCGAGGCCTCAGAGCCATCAGCTGTCTTCCTATGCTGGCACCTCCTGGTCCCAGAGACTGTCAGTTCTGCAAAAGCCTGGCTGAAGGGCTGGCTTGATGCCTCTGCAGATGCTCAACACCCACAGCATCCACAGGGGAGATGGGTCGTGGTGCCTCGTGCCCCATGGCAGATGGTAGGTGAAATGCCATGCCACGGCAGGCATGACTTGAGGCTGGGAGCCCTGATGCTTCCTATGCATCCAAATCCCTCTTTCTGCTAAAACCGGAGAGGGTGAGCTGGTGGCCTGCGCAGGGAGCTTGTGTCTGGGCTGGGCAAGCTCCCAAGTTTTCCCTGCAAAGCCCTGCGCCCAGTTTGGGGGATGGCAGGAGTCGGACTCGGAGGATGCGTGTTGACAGGTTGGGGGGCGTGATGGGAATCCCTGAGAGCAGCACTGACCCCAGCACTGCCCCTCCAG